AATATGAGCCCAAAATAAACAGATTTTGCTGTGATTTAATAAAGGGATAAAAAAAAGGATGCTGAAATAACGACATCATGCAAATTTGTAAGTCTAAATTCATGATTTGCCGGGTCTGCATGATGACGAGCAAACAACGTTTTAAATGCTCTCTGGTCCTCCCTACACAACACTGCAAAAGCCCTGCGATACTTGTATATTTGATTATTTTCAACCTGGCCTAATTTGCATTTATTGGTGTCTTTGCATTGACTTTTTATGTAATCTCATTGCACAAAAAATTTGCTTCGCTCTTGGTGTGAACACACCATAAGACAGCGACCAACAGCCTCACACATGTAAACAAACTGTTTGGTTAGCTGGCAAGTTGCCCCAGAGGTAGATCACTATTCAGTTATCTAACAGCTACACATGGGGCTACTTTTTTAGTTCAATCACAGTCAAACTCAGAGGGAAGTAAACGATTCCCTTAAAAACTTTTCTTGGAAAGATTTTGGAGGCTCACATTGTTTGCCACAGTATACGTTGGTGAGTGCATTATGTCAGCATGACCCTTTGCAAAAATTATTTCCAGTGTTTGAGTTTCCTAGGCTTAACTATACTTTTATTTGCTCCTGTACCTTCACCATATGATGATACCATATGAAAATAACTGAGTTCAGGAGGAAGAACAACACTTGATCACGCCAAGCTAACTCCTCGCAGCCTCCAGTGATGAACTGCACACACACAATACTTATAGTTCCTACTCACAGCACTCATCCACACCTCTTCCTTCTGCCTTTATCTCTCTCCCTCTTTATCTTTCTGTCTCTCCATGCAGGTTCCTCCTGTTGCTGATTTTGTTTTCATCAGCAAAGAGACCGCCATGGCTCTAAAGACAAAAATCCACTGTCTTCTCCACATGTGTTCAACTAATCTGCTGCCAAATCAGCTGACAACCCTTGTATCTGAACAGCTTTATCTTACTCATACGTCTTTGGTCTGTTCTCAATAAACCAACTCAAGCTATATCAAGTTGTGTTTCTTGAGTGGAGCATGCCATACACCTTTGTTACCTACATATTTCTCAATGCAGATAACATGGACCCTACTGCTTCTGCAAAGTGAATCTGGTTTCTTGCTGGTGTGAAACTGACTGCACGACTAAGCTTATTATGTAAATATCCAATCTGTTCTCAGCGATGGAACCGTGTGGGCTGTAATCAGGTTATTTTTATACAGAGCCGACCCATTTCTTCTGTTTGTCTGTACGAACGTGTGTCCAACAAGACAGTGCCTGGCTCGGATGGAGCCACATGGCAGGGACTCTGGTGTCACGGCTGGGTTAATAGAGATCAGCTCTCTGCCTCATGTCAAAACTTCCTTGAAGGCGGTGCAATTATATCATTGATGGTGCCAGAGACCCAGATGTGTTGATTTCCTGTGTTCCATTTGTGTCCTGAGAGCTCAGCCAAGCCATGATTCAAAATGGCAAAGCAACATACAGTGCCATATTCGAGTTGGTTTAATAACTTCATATAAAAGACTGCATGGATGTTAAAACTGTCATTTTCATTCTGAGGCAGGCTTTTCTCTTTCAAATGTGAAAGGATTCAGTGCAAGTTGTAAAAGAATGAGCTAAAACTTTACATCTTCTGTTAAACTGAATGACTAAATGTGCTTTGGTTGACTTGAAATCCAAACTCCTATAAATAAACTAAAAAGAGAAACACGTGACATACAACATTTGAGCAGAAACTATAATTTGAAATGACTTTAAAGGATGTTTTGGAATTTTGGTTTTCAGTGTAAAAAGATATGTTTTTAATAAAAACGTCTTTACATTGTTGTGAGATACATTAAGAGTTCATATTTAAGAGATTATATTTAAAATAGTGGCACGAAATAATCAAAGAGTAATGCTGACAACCGCAAATTGTTCGTGGTTTGGAAGAATTTCCACATGAAAGAACACAGCCCTGTGAGGGTGAAAAGTACCCTGAAATGATTTTGGGTTCAGACTCAAGTAAAGTGGTCCAACTGTGAAAGAGCCTCTTATTGGAAAAGAGCAGTTATTTCTTACTGGAGTGTTTTTTTTTTTTTTCTTACTTGGCTTCAGCTGGCCGTACGATAACACAGCAATCAATCCGAGACCTTGTTAAGAGGGCGGCTTCTCGGTGTCCTTCCAAACTGACCCTGGAGCTTCATCTGGAGAGAGAACGTGATCTGATCGTGATCCCACCCAACATCAGGAAGCACATTAGGAGTTAAGCAGAAGTGCAGGAATTATTCATCCCCAGAACACATGCACTATAAGTTTCATTTTTGGAGCGTTCCATTGCAGATCGCTGGCCTCTCTTCATCTTCCTCTCCTACTCTTTTCTTTATTCCTCTGCTCGGGGAAAAAGAGAGACAGACGGGAGGCTTTGAATTCATGCTGCCAGGAGATCCAGGAGGTCTGACTGGGAGCAGATGCAGCAGTTATGAGACAGAGTCATGTTTGGAAAGATAGGCTTTGAGGATCCTGGCAAAGCTCTACGCTGGTGGGAGGACCAGTTGGAAAGGGCCAGAACCTTTCAAAAAGGGCATTCAGGATTATCGAGTGAGAGAGGAAATCATTAAGATGAGGAGAGGAATAGAGGCGATGAGAGCGAGAGAAGTAGGAAAGGAGAGAGGAAGTCGGGATGAGACAACGATTCAACCAGCCAACAAACTTCTAAATGAGCACAAGGAGAACAAAGAAAGGAAGTCAAACTTTCACACTGGCAAAATTACTGTAAACTTTTATCACAGCTAAGTGCAGTAAAATTAATTAAATCCAAAGGATAAAGAGAACTTCTGTGTCATCGCTTAGCTGCCTGCGATTCCTTTCAGCAGTTTTTCTGCAGCTTATTCATCAACAAATAGTCCACTAAATGCAACCACCGTCACTAATGAGCACAAAGATTGTCAGACACATGGGTCAATGTATGATCAATTAAAAAAACTCATCAATATCATCTTAAAGGCCCCGTTGTGTTTCCGTTACCTTAGAGTGAGCCGTTTTCGTCTCAAGTGTTGTGTGTGATGAAAAAAGTAGCCAGGACGAGTGCTGCAATGAATTCTACTTGTAAACATAGATTTTACTGGTTTCAAGAAACCCATTTACCTTTACACACAGCAAGTGAGAGGAAGACATTACCAGTGAGAAGAAATGAGAACTTGTCACATTAACTTAAATCATGATCTATTGGGGAGTCCCAGGCTGGTTTTAGTGTCTATTCTCTCATCACTTCTGAGGTAAATCAGCTATCTCTGTGTTCCATAAATCTCTGCTATTCTAAATGGGGGCTCTGCTGTGCAAAAGGTAAATCAACAATTCATAAGTCTATCTGCAAGCTGCCTTGTTACACACAGTGTGAACTAATGGCTGTGTGAGTCAGCAGACCTCCGACCACAACACATCCTTTATCCTTTGCAACCCGTGATGAACTGTGTCACATGTCAACCCCGTAGTATCAGACAGTGTATCTCACTTACTGTGTCTAGATGTAGCTTACACTGAATTCACGTGCGTAAACTGTGTTACTAATAGTGCTGTTATGGGTTACATACGTTTACATTTAACATTGAAACTCAGCTCCCATAGAAACTCAAGACTCTTGGGGTCACACAGGGGTTGAACAGATTACTGTGATAAAAACTTTAAATTGAGTTTTCCATTGAGTGTGATCGGTGAGAATTCCTCAGAGGAGGTTGGTGAGGTGTGTGTGTGTGTGCAAATTGAAACTTCATCAATGGGCTAATGGTGCGCCTCACCTAACGTTCCTGTGGCACACATACACACACAAACACACTTGTTCCTCATCCCTTGGTGTTAGTCTAAGTGGAAAATCATTGATCTGGCTCATTAGATCTGACCCTTCTCTTTTATCCGAGGAGATTAGAGAAAAGCTTTTTATTGATACGGTTTTGTTTGTGTGCTGTGAGAGAGCCACAAAACAATGTGTAGTTCTTTTTACCAGGCAACAACACTTACATAACATATTTTGATGTCAATATGTGAGACATAAAATCACAAGCGCATGCTGTGGAAATATAAAAATGGTGAGACCTTGATGACACCTTTGCCTGTAAAAGCAGGGCCTTGAAACGTTGACTACATCAGTAAGTGTACGGCAGCTGCAGTGACAGTCGATGGAATCATCATCCCCTACTGGAAACAGGCCTGTGACACAGAGGAGACTTCTGGACACCGTGGGAGACTCGCTCACACTGAGGGTTGAAACAAGCACTGAGCCTATCATCGCCCTCTTGTGGCCTTGAAGGACTTATGAAATAAATAACACCCACTCACACAGACAGGAGCACAATGAGACAACATGAGGTTGTGTATTGGTAGAGAGTATGAAAAGATAATAGTCAATATAGCATCATCATGAAATAAGGTAGAGATAAACCTCACTAATATAAACAAACAATGATAAAGCACTTTCTTTGAGGACCCTACATTCTCATATAACTGACAGTGTTTATACAAGTTACTGAAACATATGGGTTAGCAATTTAGGCTTTTTATTAAATTAAAACAATGCTTCAACCACAGTTTGGAATATACATGTCAGGGTTGCAACATTGTTACAAACAGAGGCTCAACTGAGTTTTACTCATTTTTAATTCATGAATATAAGCAAAGTAAGCCAGATTCAGGACTCTCCTGAAACCCTTAACCTGGAGCCCAATGTTGGAAAACCGTGGGCCAATATCCTTAGCCTCATTTCCACAGTTATGACCAGAAGCTGTCTTTGTATTCTGGTAAACTGACACTGTTCCCGGGTTACACAATGTCGTGCTTTTTTTGTGTGTGTGTATTTACAGGAACAAGTTGGCTGTAATATACTGACTGAAACAAACCGCGAGTCTTTGTCTTATGAGAAACATTTTCAAACAGAAACTGTCAGGGCTGTTTTTATGGGAGAATTTGGCTCAGGAGCGGGATGGGGGGGGCGCGCCCGTGCCAGTGCGCGCATGCGCATACGGTGGGAAACAACGATTGAAAACGGGCAGCTATGCCGCGCGGTGCAGAAAACGAGCTGGACGCGTCCGCCTGGAACAACGGTCGGAGTACCGGAGGACTCACCCGGGGACTGCGGGACCGGGAGGCTGCTAAGAGGCGTTAACAGCGACTGTTTTCCCCGGGGATAACCTCCTCCTGAAACCGCGGCGAAGGCAGCGGCGAGAACGGTCGACGAACCCGCTCCTTCTCTCCCCCACCTTTCCCTCTCCTCTCCTCCGCTTTTCGGCACCGCAAGAGAGACACACACACACACCGAGGCACCGGCAATGTTGCTGCTAAACGTGTAGGATTTATCCCCCGGTTGTCCGTTTTGTTTTTGTAGCGACTGTAAATAAAACCGCTCAGAGACGATAAGCGACAACAGCGGGGTTCACTATGGTTGTATTGGCGGTCCGCAGTAGGAGATGTGTTAATAGCTGCTGTATGGGGACGTTATGCTTGCAGTTGTTGCTGTGGATTTTATGTGCCGTGAACGGAGAGGAGCAGCCGTTCAGTGTAGAGGTAAGGACCCGTTATTTGTTGACATGACAGCATTTCAATAAAGGAACAAGAAACTGACTTTCCCTCCCTTCAGTCTGCGTTATTTCTTTTTTTCTTCTCCCTCCTTCTTCCAAAAGAACAGTGTGTTTGAGGCACATTGTTGCCCATGTTGGTGTTTGAGCAACAACAGGCTCTTTGTGAGATGCCCAGCTGGTTGTAGTTCCATCCTTTCCCTTTTTTTCCTCCCCCCCCCACTTTTTTTTTTTTTGAAAGAACATGTTGAACAAATCAGATGGAATATTTATCACAGCACAATAGCCTTATCTCTTTCCCCCTATGTGGGCTTGTTTGTGCTCTCAAAAGTGGGTTAACATTTTAGTAGAAGCAGTGTCACAAGCAGGATAAGGAGTTGCTTGATTTCACAATGATATAATTTGATAGAAAATGTCCCCAGTGTGGGCAACGAGACTAGTTTAATTTTAGTCTAATACTGTTATCTTCCCGTATAAACTCTACATACCCGTGTAATTCAGTACTAAGTCAACAGAAATCTTCAGTCAGTGGGGCAAATATTCAGAGTGGGTCCATGGCCAGATCTTTGTGATTTTTAGGGGTCCCGTTACTTGAGAATTTTAAGACCAAACACGAGAACCTCCACTTTTGGAGAGTTAAGATAGTATCGCTTGTGCCATTATTGCAAGAGGCAGCACATGTTCTAAGGCTTAATTCTGCAGAAAGAGATCTTATGGGTTCACAGGCAACGATGTGGGCAGCTACAAGAGATTTTAACTGAGAATAAAAGGGGTTCTTTTCAAAGGGAGCTTGTATTCTGATCTGATATCCCGACTTAATGGATTGTTAAAAGCCTCCAGACTACAAGTGTTACGCCAATAAACTCTAACACTCAGTCAGCCTTTTAGAAAGACTCAGTGTTTATTCTTTTTGCCATTTCTTTCTTTTAAGTTCCTGCAGAACTAACACAATCTCCCCTCCCTCGGGTCGGGAAAAATGGGAGAAATTTGGGTTTTATCAAGGGCACATCTGTGTATTTTACATCCTCCTTCATTTCCAGAGCAAATCCACCACTGTTCAGCCAAAGTTGAATGCATAAGGCTATCATAAAGTGTTACACCGCAACCCCTCGCTGTCTCTCACACTTGGCTGCCCACACTCGCGCCCACAACACACAGAACACCGCACAGGAACATCCTGGCATGTGTACTGTCATTTAAGTCCTACATCCACATTTCCACATGATTTGCAAGCTTGGCATGCCACACTGTCCCCTTTGGAAAGGCAGGGAGCAGATTTAGTCCAGATGCTACAGGTTATTCAGTTAAAATGTCCAGGCTCACATGACTGAGAGAGGGAGAAAGTTTGAGAGATGTAAAGAAGGTTCATCCTTTGTACTCTGTTCGTATAACTTCGACTATTTTCCTCTGAAACGACGGAAATAAACTAAACCCTGGGCCAGAAACCATGCTCTTCAATAGGATCTCGCCTTGTTCTGTGTTGCGAGACGTAATCAATATTGTAAATACGAGCGTTATGTATAAGAATGATTAATTATGGCTGACATAATCAGAGTCATATTTCACATTCCCTGCTCCCACATCTTCTGCCTTCACTTGTTATCATCCTCCCCCAGTCCTTGCATCTAATTTCTTCTCCACGCTTTTCTCTGCCGTGCTTTCATGTGACTGTCCTGTCGTCAAGGCACTCTGATCTTTCCTCTTTTATACTGGCTGCTTGCAGAAATCTTAGAATTGTTGGAAGCCAGTCTGTGGCAGCCAGGTGACTTGTAAGCAGCGATATCAACTGTAATCCTTTTTGGCTTTTGAATGTGTGAGATGTTGTAGTTGAAGCCGTATGAAAACGGGAAACCTTCGTAGGGAAAGAAAAAGTACCAGTCAATACATCTCTGCATGTATAAATGTCATAAAATAAGATGTTCTGAGTGTGTATCGATGGCAGCCTCCTGCTACTCCCGTCATGTAAAGATACCACTGTGCTCACACTTGTCAGTGGATCATCCTGCCGAGGGAACGTAGCATTGAATGCATGTGGTTACAGTAGTTCCGTATCAGACTGTGATCGCTGGGTTTTCAGCGTCCCGACATGATACCATGTGCCGCTGGATGTCAAAGCTTCCACATGTCAACATTCTTGTCTTTTCGCTGTAACGCGAGCCATTTAATTTAACCGCCATCACTGGCTTGGGTGTCCCAGAGGTGAGAGAACAATTCAGGCTGCTGGAGAGCGTATGACGGACATTTTACCCCGATTATCCACAACTGTTGAGCAAACTTTAAAGGTTTTAGCATCAAGCTGCCAAACTCATCAGAGTGAGGCTTTCAGGTGAAAATATGTGTCAACTATGGATAGTCTAGTCAGTGCAGATGAGATTGCTCACTTATTGGGCGACATAGGAGTTGTAAAAATGGGTATGATAGAATCAAAGGTCCAACTTTATTTGAGCGTAAGAGGCAGTTAAATCAGGGCAAAGCTGTATCCTGACATGTGTCTAACTGTAAGAGCTTTGTAAACAGTGACCTGCTTCAGAAAAGCTCAATCCAGCAGTATCATGCTGCAGTTTACACGGCATTATACAGCGAGTGGAAGGGTGACTGGTGCCTCTCTGTAATGTTATAAACAATCTGTTTTGGAAAGACTGTTGAACTGGTTTCACTGGAGCCACTTACTGGACTTGTTATGACTGTGTGTGTGTGTGTGTGTGTTTACCACAGGTTATAGAGGGTAATAATGAAGAGAGAGCTGAGTATTGCCTCTAAATGACAGCTGTCACCTAAACCTGCCCTGTAATTGCCGGTCAGACTGCAGTCTTTTAGAGAACGTTACCCTTTAGGATGGCAGCTTTAGAGCGCGTTTCCTGGCGGAGTTTACTGTAATGCCAATTTTCTCCTTTCTTACAATTTTCTTTGCTCTGGATGACATTTTACAGAAAGTACAGCCTGTCATGGCGTGATAAAACAGTAATTAATACTATCTTGTAACACCTCACTTCAGTCTAACACTGTAGATCTGCCAGTCTGTGCTTGCCGCTGAAAAAATATTTCTGAAAAGCTCCTCAGCTTTTGTTTATGCGGTTGTCTTCCCTGAAGAAGTCATTTCTCTGCAAATTAGACAATGTCATTAACAGTGGCACAGCCACAAGTTAATTTCATTCATCTCCTTGCGAGTTTTATTTTTCTGTTCCAATCCATATTGATTTTCTATGAAAAAGTAACGAGCTAGTGACACAGCCCGTCCAGTCATTTTTAATGCTTTCTTTGTAAGGCCACATGCTGTAGGTGGACTGTGCAAGCAGCCGAGCTATCTTGAGTTATGTGTATCATTAGTTTTTATATAACACAGAGTAATTAAAAGAGAGATAATGGATTTTTTTATCTCTTTTTCCTGTCTGTGTTTGACACTGCCTGACAGTTTGGATGGAATCTCATTTAATATTGCATAAGAGTTTTCTCCGCTCAGTGCCACAAACACAGCCATCCTGAGCGCTGTTCTGCCATCTTCCCATTTTGTCTTAAGTGGTTGTTTTGAACTGGTGCTTTAAGGCTTTCAGTTCAAGATACAACATCATATTTAGGAGGTTTAAAGGCCAAGTGCACTGCTGAAACTTTTAACCCTGTGCTGGGGTTTCATCTCACGCTAAAAATCTATGGTTTGACCTTTGGTTGCTGGCACCATGTGAGCAATGTGTACATTTTAAGAATTTGCGAACATTGCAGTGAGACAGCAATGTATTCAAAATCTTTCCATCTGTGTCCAAAATTTGTGTGGTTATATAAAGTCCTCATTGTATCACTCACAGCTGTTCCTGTGTAGTCTATCTTCTTTTAATTCTGTTGGGATTTGTAATATTTTGACTCATGGCTGATTTTTCTCAGCACAGTAACTTTCTCTAGGAACACAACAACAACAACAACAACAACAACAACATGAAATCGCCAAAGCCTCCTGAGCATCACATTGCCTTGGTTACACTCACAGAGAGGCATCAGGTGCAGCGTTTCGCTCTGAGTCACATTAAGTGTTTGAATCATGCCACTATGCCCACCAGAGACCAAGCAAAGTTGCACAGTCAGAGATAATCTGCTGCACAACAAAGAGAGCGCAAAGTTGCTCTGGTGTACTCCCATCTGTTAACACATCCTGTCTCAGATGAATGAATGAATAAATAAAAGCTGGTTTGGCTAGACTCTGCTGACAGGCGACTGTAATTATTAACTCCACCAAGGATCTTATCTGGTCCCCCTGTCTGTTTGTTGTCTGTCTGTCAGCGAGAAAACCAAGACATTTCTGAGCCGATTTCCATGAAATGTGGTGGACAGACCTTGTGTTGAAAACCGATTGATTAGATTTTGATCGTGATCCAGATGTGGAAATTCAAACAATAGTCGGTTATTTACTTTTATCCATAAATGTGAAACCGACACAGATAGGGACTTATGATTACAACATGTTAAACATGCTGATCTAATCCAATCTAACGTTAAATATGTGGGTGTAACAATTTTATAATGTGCTGTTTTGTTTTTATGGCTTAAACAGCTGCAGTTGTAAGATTTGCCTGTTTGCAATGGTGGTATTGCCCTCAAACTGACTGCATTGTTCAAGCCCATCGGCCCGTTAGCCTAGCTTAGCATAGAGACTGGAAACGGGGAGAAACAGTTAGCTTTGGTCTGTCGAAAAGCTCAACGAATACCAAAACAGAAATGGGAAAATAATAACTTATGGTTTTATATGGAGTTATACGTTGGAACTATTTCTTGGCCAGGCCCGGTGATATTCTAAAAAACCCAATCACAGCAACCTCAGCTCACAACTTGTTTTTTTTTTTTATATTCTAGTTTGAGTGTAGATTCAAAGAAAAGTGCTAATTGGTATGCTTTAGAGGCTCTGCAGGAATAGAGTTCATTGGATTCAACATCAATTTAATTCTTTTATACAGTATGCCATCTCCCATATCACGCAAAAAACACTATATTGACATAATAAAC